AGTAGTCGTTACCACATGTTGGATACACGTGTGCATCGCTCTCGTTCTTCACTGGCCCACGCACGTGTTTTTCTTTACCCGCCCACGCATGCATATTTATATATGCTGGCCGATGCTCAATGTCGTGTTCTATACCGGTTAATGCTCACATGGTCGCGCATTGGCCCATGCATATCTTGCGCACGTCTGTGGCGAAGGTCCCCTTTGCAGCTCAACTGTTATACATGTTGAAGCACCCGCAAGTTCCTTAATCGGCAATGCAATTTGGGCCGATGGGTCGATGGGCCGTCGGCAGTCGTCTGCAGAAAGCACCCCCTGTCAGCGCGCGCAGGGATGCCGAGGGCAACTGACACGGCTGAGAAACACTCGCCCGACTCACTATGTGAGGCTCCCGGGCGCGACACTGGTAGGAAGCCTCCGAGTGCCTGCAGGGCGGTGTATGGCAATTTGTGAGCGGTTGACAGCAATGGCCACCTGTGAGTGTTTTGCAGTGTCGGGAAGGCGTTGGCGGGTCATTTCCAAAGCACGCCAAAATAATGACCACACGTTTGAGACGACTCCGCCGCTATCATGCAACGCGCATGCCGTCGGGCGCGCACCGGGCCCCGCCCCGCGCCATCGCCGTGGCCGCGAATCATTCTGGCGAGATGCGCAACCATGGGCATACGCGCGCCCGCGATTCAGCCACCCCCCTAGAGAAGGAGGGGGCAAAACCATAGCGCCCGAATCCAACAAAAACGGCAATGAGCAATGAGTGCGGAGCGCGAGCCCAGCGCGCGCCGCAAAAACGAAACAATAAAAAACAAAAAAACAACGAAAGGGGCATGAAGGATCCTAGCCTCAGGGAGAGCTGACCTCGGAGACAGCCCCGAGCTTGAGGGAGCCGCGCAGGTCGGACCGCACGATGCCGTAGTCGATGAGTGTGCCTCTGCCCAGGTTGCAGGTCGTCTCGGCGTTGGACGGCAGCAGCAGCGAGCCTCCTAGCTTCTTTAGCCATTGGTTATTCTTCCATTCCTCGGGCAGGTTGTTCCAATCGCCAAGCACTATCCATGGGTCTGCAATGAGTCGAAGAAACGCCGCCAATCGTATGAGCATCCGTTCATTCGGGCCGCGAAATCCGAACTTGGGCTGCAGGCAGGCGGCGACCACCACAAGGTTGCCGACCTTGGTGCGCCACGTCACCGGGCAGAACCCCACGAAGGGGTCCTTGGACTACTTGGACAGCTGCGCCTGCCCCCAGCCCTCGAACGACATGGTGGCGAGCGTCTTCTTGCACAACATCGCCTCGCCTCCAGTGGTGCCCGACTGAGAGCGGCCCGTGGGGACTGAAGGTGTGGCAGCTGTCTTCCAACCATCCTTGGACATGTTGACGATCATCCTCTCAAGGCGCTCACCCCGCAGGTGAGTCTCAGCAGAGCCAGTCATCTCATACTGCTCTGCTTGGGCCCTCATGAAACTCTCCGAGCGCGGGCCCCCCTCGGAGATGCTGGCGAAGAAGAAGCGGGCGTCCTGGCTAGGAGCCCACCCCGCGTCCGCCTCTGCCGCCAGCGCCTTTGCCTGCTGCGGCGGCCCTGCCGCTGCTGCCGCGCCCGCGGCCGCTAGCAGGAGCCACCACATCTTCAGCAGCAGAGGCACGCTGCTCAGCACGCTCCTTGGCCGCCGCGAGCGCCTCGACCAGCTGGGCCTTGGCTGTCTCGCGGGCCCTGGCGGCCTCAGCGGGGTCGGCCGAGGGGGCTGCGGCGCTGCCAGCGGACGGCGCAGCCGCTGAGGCGCCCGCCGCTGGGGCCGCGTCGCGGGCTGCCTGCTCCGCGCCTGGGCCCTGGCGGCCGACGCCGTCGGCGCCGCGCAGCCGCTTGGCTGGGGCGGCGCGGATCTCCTGGACCGTCTTGAGGGCGTTGGCCAGGGTCTCCTGCAGCGCCTGGACCTGGGCGACGTGCGCGTCCATCTCCTTCTTGAGGCTGCGGAGGGTCTCCTGTTGGGTCTCGTCGAACTCCTCGAGGTTGTCGGTGAAATCGGCCTCCTTGATTGCAAGCAGAATCTTCTTGCCGTCGGCGGTGTAGCCCTCTGGTGGGGCTGGCTGCGCTGGAGCCTTGCCGACGGAGATGGACAGGGCCGCGATCGCCTTGTCGTTGGCCTCGCGGGCCGCGATGGCCTCCCCGGTGGCCACCAGCACGTTGTCCTTGGCTCTCTCGGGGGCCGCCTCAGCTGCGACCTGGGCGTCTGCTGCCCCCCGTAGGGCGGCCTCCTTCTTCTGAAGATTCTGCGCTGTGAAGTTGGCCTCCTGCTGCGGGGTCCGCTGCTTGACCAGGGACGCGGCGCACGTGGTCTCGAGGTCCACGAGCGCCTGGTGGGCCCCCGCGAGGGCGGGGATGGAGGCGAGCTTCTGGAGCAGGACAACGGGGTCCTCAGGCGGCGGCACGCCCTTGGCCCAAGGCGGCTTCTTGGGGGAGGACGACGGGCCGCTGCGCTTGAAGAGGTCGACGACGATGTTGCACTTCGCGCATTTGCCGTCGTTGGCGATGATGCGGAAGTTGAACGCCCAATTGCCACACTGCTTGCACCACGAGAACGGCTGCGCGCGCCCCATGACGCGGAAGTGCGCAATGAGGGTGCGTGCAGAGGAGAACCCTTCAGCACGGAAAGCTTTCCTGAACTGGCTCGGGAAACAGAGCTATCCCACGTTGGCTCGGAGGCGCGGAAGCCCCCAGCTGCAAACATCTTGAGCCAAAATGGCTACGGAAGGAGGAGGAGGAGGAGGAGGAGGAGGAGGAGGAGGAGGAGGGGGAGGGCAGGGATGGGCAAGCTCCGTGGAAGGTCAGTCGCCCACCCCTCGATGAACATCCCACCCAAAACAGACCAAGGGGTCGGAGATGAGAGGCCCGGGCTCCAAAATCGCGCCGCCTCGCCGGCGCAGCGGCGAGGCGGCGCGGTCCTCGGGCCTCCTCCGGGGCGGGGCGCGGCCTGGCCATGGGGCCCGCCCCGCCACAACAAAAGGGCGGGGCGGGCCGAGAACCAGCAGAGGCGCGGCCCCCGCAGGTGAACGTTTCTTGTTCGGCGCTTCGACAATGAAGGGGCCCTGGGACACACAAACAAATACACACAAATAAAAGGATTCCCCATATTTTCCCATATTTCCTGGGTTTCTGTCTTCCCCCCCACTTCCCATATTTTCCCATATTTTCCTGGGAATCGACGATTAATTGTGTCTGTGTGTTTTTTCCCCTCCTGAGACAACATTGGGCGGAAGGGGGGGGGAGGGAGGGGATCTAGCTCCAGACCTCTGCTCCATGCGACCGCTTACAGCAGTGCGCCCCATGGGAGAGAGACTCCACCTGCTTGAAACAGGCGCCAAGAACAGCCAAGAACTGCTCCATGGGAGGGGGGGAGAAGGGGTGCGAGGGCCGGCGCCGATCGGCAACACTTCGAATCGGAAAACGATCGCCAGCCTGCCGGAGGGGTGTTTCGCGTGGTACGGTCGGGAACTTTTGCACAGCATGTCGCGGCAGCGGCCACGGCGACACGCTGCGCCGTGCAAGCAGAGCGCGCGTCGCCCCGCTCCGCGCGACGGGAGGCTCGGAAAAGCACGAGACGCTGACGCTTGGGAGTGGGGAGTGGATAGCGTTTCGCGCCGAAGCGTGGTGGGCCAGAAACAGCGGAGCGACGCGCTATCCAAAAGTTTCAGACCGTACGCGCTTGAGCACGTGATGGCCCTTCCAAAAATTCCTGGTGGCCTTCAGCCCAACCCGCTACCAAGATGACCTTGATGGCCCTCAAGGTTGGCCACAACGGCCAGTGGTAGCCCCAAAAAGGCTCAAGATGCCGCTAGAACGGGACAAGGGGCCTCCAAGTTTCTCCAAGACGGCCTAAGAGAGCCTCGAGATGGCTCAAGAGGCCCCATGAAAGCCCCAAGAGGGCCCCGAGACAGCTCTCAAGGGCATCGAGGGGGCCCCCAGACTGCCCACGAGGACCTCCAGACGCACTGCAGGGCTCCAAACGGGCCAAGGGCGCCCAGAGACGGCCCAGGAGAGCCCCAGGATGAACCAAGAGAGCCACCACAGGCACTCAAGACGGCCAAAAGTGTTGCCCCAGCGGCAGCTCCAACAGCGGCTGGGGGAACCCGTAGTCCCCTGACATGGCCGAACGCTCGATCGAGGCTTCACTGCACGCGCGTTGCCGCAACGGGAGGAGCGGCGGTGACTCGCCGCAGGCGTCTGCGGTTCACCGCCCCCCCTCGCCTGGCGGAGGGGTGCTTCGCGCGCAGTCCCACCAGCCCTCTGGGAGGAGGTGGTCTAGCGCGGTTCCCCTTCCAACACCCATCTTCCCTCCCCTGTCGGGGAGAGCGCCACCACCTGCCAATCTCGGCACACCCCTCGCACGGCTCGTGTCCCATCCCCCCCCCCCTCCCTGGCCACTCCGACGCACCCCATCGCTCGTTTTATGCCCGCAGTACGAGGGGCTCCACCTACGGCCGTGGGTGCATTCGCACGCCGCCCGCGCCAATCTCGGCGCAACGCTGCGTCACCCTCGGAGAGCTACGCCCCCTGACTCCCCTGTCTGTTCCACTGCATGCCCCTGAACTTCCCTGATCAGGGCACCTTCCCTAGCGATCGTTTCTGGAGGGGCAGGTGGGGAGAGTTATGCGAGGCGTCAACTTTTGTTCTGTCCTGCCGTCGTCGGACGTCGTAGGGTCCAGCGACGGACTGTAGCCCCCCCGCACCGCGACATCTTCTGTAACGCGGGCCTAGGGCCTAGGGTGTCATCATGCCTGTCACTCAGACGCGCCACGCAGGCAGCGCCAAGAGGGCTGCCGCGCTGTCAGTGCGCTGGTGCGCGCTGCTGTAACCGCGCAAACGCCACGGGCCGTACGCCCGCGCCGTCGAACAACAAAACGTGCGCACATCCGCCCGTTGTCACACGCCTCGCCGGGGCCGGGTGGCGGCAGAGAGCAAAAGCGGACCGCGTGGGCCCGCGAGGAGGCGCGTGCCGAGACCGCCTGGCCGCTACGCGGCGGAGAGCAGCCTCGCGGCAGGCAGCAGCAGCCCCGGGAGCAGCAGCGCCACCAGCCCGTGGCTGCCCGCGGCGCCGCTGATGGGGGCAGGGTCCGAGGCGGGGTCCGGGCCAGGGTCCGAGTCGCAGCCGCGCGCGAGGTACAGCCTGTCCTTCTCCTGGTAGACCCACTCCCACGACCCAGACAAGGGCTGGATGTCGAGTGCGTAGCACACCGCGCTGCCCTTGGCGCACCTGGTCACCGTGCCGGTGATGCTCGCGCCCAGCTCCGCTGGTGCCGTGGGCTCCTCTGGAGGGTCCCTCTTTGCGAACGCCAGTCTCAGCCCTGCATCCCTCCCTCCCCTCCGCTCCCCAGACATCTGGCGGAGTGACTGTGACTGCCCCAGCGGTTTCCCTCCATCTCGGCCCCCATGCAAGGCCATCTCTGGCCCCTGGGGGGCGCCGAAAGATGAGCAATGATGACAGGACCGGTCCCGCGAGACGGGGTCTGAGTGTGAGTGTGTCTGTGCATGAGTGGCTAGAGTGTGAGTGAGTCTGGGCAGGAGTACTCTGAATGTGAGTGAAACTGAGCGAGTGCGAGACAATCCTACCACCAGTCCTCTGGGCGTAGGTAGCTGAGGGAGCCAATTCTCCTAACTCCCACTATTCCCCTCCAGGGAGGGGTTCATGTCTGCACTTAACTTATAATATGCACACCCTCCCCCGCTTGACTGGAGACAATCCCCGAACCACGACGACACCCCCCAAACCATCCCTGTCAAACAACATGCAACATATCGCAGCAAAATCTGGATCACGTGCGGGCACCAGGCGATCACTTTGCACTGGTCGTTGAAATATGCGGCGGGGGTACCAGCAAACACTTTGCAGCAAAACCGGGGTCATACCCGGGCGCCCCACCTCATGAATCAGAATGCGGCATCGGAAACGCAGGCTCGGATGATGCACATGTGCTGGGAGGGCGGGTGGGGGTGAGCAAGACGGTTTGCGCCTTTCGGGGGGCAGCTTGACCCCTTCCCCTACCCTCTCCCTGGGTCTGGAGGGGGGGGGGCGCGAGCGGCAAGAGCGTCCAAGATGGCCTAAGATGGCCCAACTTGCCCTTTCTAGATGGCAGCACGGGAGACCCTGGCTCAAAGGTAGCCTCCAACATGCCTCCCACAAGCCCCAAGACCGCCGTAAGACGGCTCCAAGTGGCCACGGAGCCCCCCTGGGACGCCCCCGAGAGGCCAAAGTCATTCCCAAACCTACGGGAAATCAATTGTGCTTGCATTCTCGCCTTTTCGCTTTTGGCGGGGGAGTTGAGACCTCAAGACGGTTCCAATATGGCCCATGAGGACCCCAAGAGGGGTCCAAGACGAATCGGTGACGGCTCCAAGACAGCTCCAAGAGCCCCCAGAGGGCCCCAAGAGGCGATGTTTAGCTTTTCGACGGGGGAACGCTAATTCTGACCCTTCGCTCAAAGGTAAAATCACTGACAAGCCTCAGATGTGATGATTGACAGATGTTGGCATCTCGGGGGCATCCTTGGGAGGCTGTTGGGCCAAGATTGCTCTAAGAGGGCCCTGGACCCAGGTAGCCCACGCTAGCCTACAAGATGGTACAAGGTAGACCATGATGGTTCAAGATAGCCTCGGACATGCCTCCAAGAGGCCAGAAGACAGCTTCAAATGGCCATGAAGACTCCGGGGACGCCCCCGAGAGGCCAAAATCATTACAAAACCTCGTGTGGGTGAGCGTCTGAGACATTTGGTTGTCCCCCTCCCCGTTTCCCCTTCCTGGGGTGCAAAATACCGTTGAAGGGTGAAGGGGGGCGGGCGGGGGTCGACGAGCTCACTGGCGCACCTTCGGGGGTTGACGTTCATTTCGTCCGTTTTCATTCCGTCTTACTTCGTGTCGTCCTCTTTCACTCCGCCCTCTTACGAATCGTCCTCTTTCGTTTCGTCCTCTTTCGTTTAGTCCGCCGTTCATTTCGTCCGCCGTTCGTTTCGTCCTCGTTCGCTTCGTGTTCTCTCGTTTCGTCCGACGTTCGTTTCGTACTCTTTCGTTTCGTCCGCTCTCATGTCGTCCTCGTTCGCTCGGCCGTTTTCGTTCCGCTTACTGCAGCTGTGTTTGATTGCTCGGCTCTGTGATGCTCTACAGACATACCAAGCGGATTGAAACCAGACGAATTGAAACCAAACAAATTGACACCGGACGAATTGACACAAAACGAATTGACACCGGACGACTGGACGCCGAGCGAATTGGTGCCGGACAAACTGACACAGGACGAATTGACACCGGAAGAATTGACACTGGACGACTTGACACCAGACGAACTGGCACCAGCCGAATTGACACCAGACGAATTGGCACTGGACTAATTGGCGCCAGCCGAATTGACACCAGACGAATTGATACCGCCGTCTTTGCCGATGCTGTCACTGGTGAGTGGTGGCAGCGGTTGGCTCGGATGTTTACTGTTGCTGCCAGGGTTCCCCTGGCGGTGCCCCGCGCGCCAGGCAAGGGGGGCCCAGTTCCGATCCAAGAAAGCCGCGCGGACCTCCGAAAGAGCATGATCACGCCGTTTGTGTTTCCCCGACTCTTCCTGTTAACTCGACCACCACGCCGGGCCAGAGGAGGAGAAGGAGGAGGAGGAGGAGGAGGAGGGGGAGAAGAAGGGAGGAAGAAGGGGAAGAGGAGGGGGAGGAGGAGAAGGAGGCGGAGGAGGAGGAGGAGGAGGAGGAAGAGGAGGAGGAGGAAGAGGAGGAGGAGGAGGAAAAGGAAGAGGAGAAGGAAGAGGAGGAGGAGGAGGAGGAGGAGGAAAGGGAGGAGGAGGGGGAGGAGGAGGAACATCTGTTCGCGTTCGTTTCCATTTCTGTTCGCCACCCGCTCGGCCTTTTCAAATTCTCTGCCGAAGGGGGGGGCCCGAGGGCGCGCCGCCGCCTCGTGTTCGGTCCCAAGCGATGGCACGCACGCGACCTTGGAGGCACGAGGCCGAGCAGGGATCGACGCGAACAGTGTTCTTCGTTTCGTTTTGTTTCCGTTGTTCCCCGTTTTGTCTTCAATCCGCCTTTGCTGCAAGACGAAATCGAAACGAAAACGGCCCACGAAATCGCCAAAACCACCGTTTCGATCGACCCCAGAGGCCGAGTGTGCGCCATCTCGTGACCAAGGAGCTCTGGGAATTGCGTGGCATTGCCAGACCCCCTTGAACGGTCGCGCGCGAGTGCCTTGTGCAGCGGTCGGCCCCGCATCTGGCCCTGCCCGATCCTATGCCCAAGTGGCTGTCCGAGGTGATTTCGCCTGCCTTGGTCCTCACGTGTCCATTTGATGTGGCGCCTCTCGACATTGTCTCCAAGTTATTCGTTCACTGTTCCAAGTTATCGTTCTCTTGTACATGCCTCAGACTCCCATCGGACCTTCCGATGGGAGTCTGAGGCATCAAGACGGATCCAATATGGCCAAAGAGGGCCCCAGCAACAGCCCCAAGATGGCTCAAGTAAGCTGCCAAAAGGTCCCACATCGAAAGATCCGCGCCAGCATGTCTGTTTGATTTCTGGGTCTGCTCAGACTGACCACAAGCTTCGGTTTGACGGCAATTCCCCCCCCCTCTCTCTCCCACTGCTGGCACCTACCTCGCCTGGGCATCGTTTCTGGATGGGCTGGCGGGGACACGTGAAGTTTCAAGTAACATCAGCAGGATTGACAGAGGGAGCCGGGAGTGAGGTGAAGAGGTTGCGAAGAGATCACGACGACTGCTGTCTGCACCCCTCCTGGCCGGGCGGAGCGGCGGAGGGGGCGGGGGCCAGCGAGGCTCGGGACCCGGTGAGCTGAGGTGTGGCGCCGAGGTGAGCCGTGGTCCTCTGCGCAGGAGGGGGCGCGACGGAGGTGACGCCGCCGAATTCCCAGCCCCCAGCCAGACCCAGACCTCCGATGGAATGACTCTTCCACCCCGGGCGCGGACCCCCCCTCTCTCTCTCGGCCCCTTGCAGGCATCTCTCGGGACCCCTGGCGAGGCGTGGCGACGAGGCGGACAGCTGCCCGCCGTCCTCTGCGCAGGCGGGCGCCGCAGAGGCATCGCTGCCGCAGTGGTACTGGAGCTTGCTCTCACAGCTGGCCTCCACGCAGCTGCCGGGCCCCGCGGAGAGCGTGCCAAAGGGGCAGCAGCCTCCCTCGGCGACCTTCTTGTCCTCGGGCGCGGCCGCAACAACCCCCCACCTGCCGTTGGCGACCCCTCCGCCGAACGGTGCGGGCAGACGGCGTGCGGAGGTTTGGAGCACATTTCTACATCATTCCAGGTCCCGCCCTGCACAGGCCTCGCCTCCCCGCTCTCCCCCCTCCCCCTGGTCAGGTCACGAGTTGCGCCGGCGCCGTCTGGGCATCAGCCATTACTAGGCACTCCCAGGCGGCGCCAGCCCGAGTCGTGGCGTTACCGGCCCCCTCGCCTCCCTCCCCCCCCGGTCACGCCCGCCATCGCCAGGGGATAAAACACAGGGTCTCCTGGAGGAAGAGCAGAAGGGGTCGGTCTGCAGGGAAGGCTTCCTGGGGCCCCCCTGACGGTCCATCTCGTTGCAGCCCATCACGGCCGGAGCGCACGCTGTGGAGGCGCCCATCATGGTGTAGCACTGTCCGTCCCGGCAGTCCCCCATGTGGACCGTGCAACCGTCGCCGCACAGCGAATTGAGGCCGGTGCAGGTCGGCCTCTGTTCGTACCAGCCCCCGCTGCTCGCGGTGCCAGCTGCCAGCGGCGTCTGGGCCAGCCGGGAGAGCGCTAGGGCGGCGCCGACGAGAGAACGAGACATGGCCCTCTGCGGGGTACCGACGGGCTAGACGCTTCAGGCGAGATTGTCCGAGCTCGCGCTCGAGCCAGGACGGCCACGGATCGCTCCCTCCGGCGTGCACACCAAGAACCCCCCGCGCCCACTAGACCGCCCCCCTCCTGCCTACCTACACTGGAGGAAAAGAGAACAAGGCCTGTCCGCCCGCATCGCCTTCCGTGCACCAATCCCTTCGCCACGGTCCCCCACAGGCGTCCTCCTCCTTCTCCTCTGCCTCCCCCTTCTCCTCCCCCTCCTCCTCCTCCTCCTCCTCCTCCTCCTCCTCCTCCTCCTCCTCCTCCTCCTCCTCCTCCTCCTCCTCCCTCCTCCCTCCTCCCCTCCTCCTCCTCCTCCCCTCCTCCTCCCTCCTCCTTCCTCCTCCTTCCTCATCCTCCTCCTCCTCCTGCCTCACCTCCTCCTCCTCCTCCTCCTCCGGCTCTCTCCTCCTTCCTCCTCCTCCTCCTCCCTCCTCCTCCCTCCTCCTCTCCTCCTCCTCCTCCTCCTCCTCTCCCTCCTCCTCATCCTCCTCCTCCCCCCCTCCTCCTCCTCCTCCCCCTCCCCTCCCCCTCCCCCCTCTCCTCTCCTCCTCCTCCTCCTCCTCCTCCTCCTCATGCTCCTCTCATCCTCTCTCCTCCTCCCTCCTCCTCCTCCGCCTCGTCCTCGCAGCCCCTGTCTCCCCTCCACGCCTCGTCTCGTCGTCCTTCTACCCTCACTGCGTCTCGTCTCTTCTCTTCATTTCTCCTCGGGCCTGCTCCTCCTCCCTCCTCCTCCTCCTCCTCCTCCTCCCTCCTCCTCCTCCTCCTCCTCCTCCTCTATCCTCCCCCCCTCCCTTCTGCATTTGCTTCGTGCAGCCTGTTCCCCTCCACGATCGCCGAAATACGCGCCACGGGCTGGGGCGGCAGAGCCGCTGCTGTGCCCTGATCCCGCGGCGCCCCCCGCGAGTGACAGACACAGCTGCCGCCTGGACCCCTGGATCTCTGCAGTGCCCCCCGGCATGCTGCGGCGCGGGAGACCGCCAAGCGCTGTCTGGTGGGGTCTCTGCAGGTAGGGGGCCAGATGCGAACCCTGCCCCTGCCTCTCCCACGACTTCTGAAGCGAACCCCACCCTCCCCCTCAGAAATCGTGGGGGGCAGGGGCAGGGTTCGCATCTGGCCCCCTACGCACGGATACGTTCCGCGCGGAGCATCGGCGAACACACGCCCGTATCCGTGGGGTCACGGCCCAGGGGCTCCGCCCGTGAGGCCGCGGGTGCGGACCCAAACGCGCGGCGTCCTAGTCTCGTCGACGCTGTTCGGGAGGCCCCCTCTCTCGTGGACCCCCTCCCCCTGCGCGCACGGGCCGCATGCGCCACCCACTCCTCCCGGGGCCCCCCTGGGTGGCCCCCGACGCCGCTCCGGGGGCCTGCCAAGGCCCTCCGCGGGGCGCCCGAGACGGGCCAGGAGAGCCACCAGGGCTGCAAACGCGGCCCGACACGCTGCGCCGAGGGGGCCCCAAGCGGGCTCCAAGGCACCAGGGCAAAGGCCAGGGGGCCACGCAAAAGTTCCAGAGAGACTCCGATGAGACAAACGCATGCCAAAAGAGCCCAGTGTGGACCCAAGTGGAGAGTGGGGGTTAACCAAACAGAGCTCTCCATAAAAACACGTCGCTGAAACACGTCGCTGAAACACGTCGCTGAAACACGTCGCTGAAACACGCCGCTAAAACACGTCGCTAAAACACGTCGCTAAAACACGTCGCTAAAACACGTCGTTACAACACGTCGCTAAAACTCGGCACTGCAGAAGGTTGTCGGGGTGGGGAGTTGGCTTGTTGTCCGCTTGCAATCCCGGCAGCCCTCTGGGCGTAAGTGGTTCAGCCAACTGCGTCTTCTTACTGCTCAAAAATCCTCCTTCCTCTGCTCGGGGGAGGGACCCCCTCCCCTGGGCCTGGAGGGAGCGGGCCGCGAGGCGTCAAAGCGTCCATTTTGCCCCAAGATGGCTCCAAGAGGGCCTCCGAGAGCCCAAGAGGCCTCCAAGATGGCCCACGGTAGCTCAATATGGATCTAGATAGCCTCCGACACGCATCTAAGAGGACCCCAGACGGCCCCAAGGTGGTTTCAAGTGCCCTCCGAGCCCTCCAAGGACCACCCCCCACCCCCCAAGAGGCCAAACATCCTTCACACATTTCAAGAAAATCAATGTTTTGTGGCCTCTCGCTTTTTCGCCTCCGATGGGCTCTTGAGGCCTCAAGATGGCCCCAAGATGGCCCAACCCCCTCTTTTTGATGATCTCCACGCCACCACCCCCAAGTGGTGGTGGTGGCGTGGTTCTAGTGACGTAATTCTAGTGACATGTTTCTAGTAACGTGTTTCTAGTGACGTGTTTCCAGTGACGTGTTTCCAGTGACGTGTTTCCGGCGACGTGTTTCCAGTGACGTGTTTCCAGCGACGCGCTTCCAGTGATGTGTTTTTCTAGTGACGCGTTTCTGGTGACGTGTTTCTCGTGACGCGTTCGCGCTTTTCGCGAGCGACGTGTTTTAGCGACGTGTTTTAGCGACGCGCGTTCCAGCGCCGCGTTTCCTGTGACGTGTTTCCAGAGACGTCTTTCGAGTGACGTGTTTCGAGCGGCGTGTTTCGAGCGGCGTGTTTCGAGCGGCGTGTTTTAGCGACGTGTTTTAGCGGCGTGTTTTAGCGGCGTGTTTTAGCGGCGTGTTTTAGCGACGTGTTTTTGCACCGCCGCAGCCACGACTCCGACCGCGACTGCGACCACCACTACGACCACGACTACGACCACTACGACGACCACCACCACCACTGCTGCACCACCACGGCTACGACTCCTACCACTACTACCACCACCACCACCACCACTGCTGCATCTACTACTACCACTGCTACTACCACTACGACCACCACTCCTACTACCACTACTACCACCACTCCTACTACCGCTACCACCACCACTCCTACTACCACTACGACCACCACTCCTACTACCACTACGACCACCACTCCTACCACCACTCCTACCACCACTACTACCACTACGACCACCACTCCTACTACCACGACGACCACCACTCCTACTACCACTACGACCACCACTCCTGCTACCACTACGACCACCACTCCTGCTACCACTACTCCTACTACCACTACTCCTACTACCACTACTCCTACTACCACTACTCCTACTACCACTACTCCTACTACCACTACACTACTACCACCACTACTACCACCACTACTATTTCCACTACTCCCGCAACCTCTACAGGCCCTACAGCGACGTGTTTAAGCGACGTGTTTTGGCGACGTGTTTTTAACGACGTGTTTTTACGGATACCAGCTGTGTGTGGTTAAACACGTCTTCTGTTTAGTTAACTTACCCCGTTGAGCCCCCCAGACGCCCAGGACATCCACAGAAACCCCAATAGAGCCAAAGAGGGGCCCAGGCCAGCCAAGTTCCAGAGAGACTCCGATGAGACTCCACGAATCGTTGGAATATCGACCCCAGACGCCGGCGATGGTCCCCAGACGCTCTCTGCAGCCTCCAAGACACCCCAAGGTGCCCCGAAGATGTGCCCCAACAGGGTCCCCAGACGCAAAAATTGCCTCATTCCCTTCGTAAAACGTACATGTTTAGCAAACTCGCTTTCCCGCCTGTCCGACACTCCAAGACTGCCTATGACGCCCCCGAGGTCGCCCCAGGACGTCCCAAAACGTCTCCAAGAGGGCCCCCACATTGCCCCAGAGGGCCTCCAGACGGCCCAATACGCACCCGACACGGCCCAAGGCCGCCTGAAAACGAGCCCACGGGAGGGCCGGGAGGGGGACCACGATCCAAAAGGCAACCAAAAGGCCCTCAGGAGCTCCCGGGAGGTCCCCCTAGACCCCCCAAGCCGAACCCATGAGGCCCAAAATGGGCCCCAAGAGACCCCAAAACGGCGCCCAAGAGGCCTCCAACCTGCACTTTTCCTCCCCCTCCCCGTCCCCCAGACTACGTCCTCCCGACTACTATCCATGAGCCCTCTATTGTCGTCGTCGCCATCGTCGCCTTCTTCATCCGCGCACCCTACTCATCGCCCACTTCCTCCTCATCCTCCTCCTCCCCCTCCTTATCCTCATCAAACTCTTCCCTCCCCCCCTCCCCGCATCGGCAGATGTTTCTGAAATGGTAATTAGGAGGCCCCCGAGAGGCCAAACACGAGATCCCGACCAACATCCTCTAACCCTCTACCGCCGTTAGGAATTCCACCCATCCACAACAAATTGGGTCGGCGGATGTGGCGTCAGACTGGGGAATCTTCAAATACTCCGACGGAAAGACCCCACATGAGAATCCTCTGGGCGAATCTCGAAAAAGCGCCCACCGTCGTCCTCGTGGTTGGTGAGGCGCCCTGACTGTCTCTTCTGCGTATATTTCTTCTCGCCCTGGCGCGGGCCCCCCCCCGTTCCCTACGTTGCCCCCGACCTCGCCCTCCTTTTTTTTCGCGCCCCGCCGCCGCCTCGCCGTTCCATTGCACGAGCGCGCATGTCGGTTTTCCTCGGCGCCGTCGCCGCCTCGGCCAGCACCAGCGCGTACTCTAATGGCCACGTCGCGCAGCCGCTGGGACAACCCCGCGGGCCAGGCTGTCGGGACAACCCCGCGAGCCGCTTGCGCGCAAGACCAAGCCGTTGGGTCAACCCCGCGGGCTTCGAGCGGGGCGCAGCCGCGCTCAGGCGGGCAGCACGAAGCCCAGCTCTGCCGCGAGCTGCTTCGCCTCCGCCCTGGACAAAACCGCTCTCTTGTCGAACTCCAGGAGCGCCTTCCGCAAGGACGCTGGCGGCCCTCGCTCCAGGAACTCCCGCGGCGGCGGCCGCAGGATCAGCATGTTCCGCACGCACGTGGCGCGGGACAGCATGACGTAGAGGTGCAGCCACCACTGCTCGTCAGACATGCCCGTGCGGCCAGCGCCCTCGTCTCTCGCGCAGTCGATGGTGACGCCCTTGCGCAGCGTCTGGCCCT